TGTGTAGTGTTAAAAATCACAGTTTTAAATGGGTGGCACTCAGCAGAAAAAAAAAGAAAAAAAAAACAATTAAAATTTTTTTAAAGGAGGAGAATCGACCTACAGAAAGGTCAATTCATTGAAAAGTTGCTTGCTAAATTTAACATTAATTCTTAAAACAGACCAAAAAACAAAAAAACTTTTGCTTGAAATTGAGCTTTTCACAACTTTTCAGAGGCGAAAAAACCAAATCGAGGCATGAAAAGGAGTCAAGAATGTCTGTTTGGCCCTCTTGGTATTTTTGAATTAGAAAGTTTCATACACAGGAATGAGCTAAGAACACATTGATTAGCACTGGTGTTCGTGAAGATTCCTAACTAATAATAAGGTTTCTTAGTCGGCGCGTAAAACTTTGTTCCTTTTTGCTAAATGCAGTCCAAAAGTTCTATCTGGATGGTATGGTAGAATTCTTGTCGCACTTGCAGGATGTAAAATGGCCAGAATGAAGGAGTTTGGTCATCACTGGTGCAAGCGTTCAGGCATTACGACAATCGCACTCCGATTAATTCTGTGACGGCCTGATTGCTGCTTCCAACCAGCGCCAACTTCTGCTCGCTTCCTCGAGTCCATAAATCGTCTACCTCCCTCTAGGCTGACGCCTCCTTTGTTCTTGCTTCTCTTTTGCACTGATTGACACCCATAGATGTCACTGTGGAAGGATTCGTGCTCACCGCTTGGTTTTTACGGTCTTTAATAGGGAAATTTTCTCTTTATATTCATCTCCAATTGATTCGGAGCGCGGCGGGTCATTCGGCATGTCTACTCCTCAGCGCAGATATCGTTCTCTAAAACAGGCTTTCTTGTGGCTAGTCCATACTTTAACACTCCCTTTCTGCAGATGCGTTGAAGCGTAATTTCATCTGGAACACTGTCTGATTACATTTTTAAATTTTCACCGTACTGCTATCGGTGCGGCATGGTACTACACGATCCACCACGCTACGATATGACTTATGATATACGATATGACACAGTATGATACTATAGAATGCGGAATTTGCGATACGGTGCGATATATGATAAGTATAAGATGTAGAAGAAAAAGAAAACACGATGAGATGGAAATTGGTCGTTAAAATTATCACAGCGATCAATAAGAGCTCTGGGGCTTTTTGGGCCCAAAGAATTCAATGTTTCGAAGTGTCCGCACTCTCCATTCACGTGTGTTCCGGCTCTCGTCTCACGAACCACATTTTGCAACTGACAGGTAATATTCCTACACTACTATAGGAAGCATTGTAAATACGCCTTTAGTTTTCCTATGTATGGGTGCTTTTATGGATGAACTATAAAAGTAGTTCCTTACTTCAAAATGTAGTCAAAACGAAGTTCACTTTAGTAACTGTACGACAGGAGATGAGAAGTTACGCAATCAAGTAGTAGTAAAATAATTTTATTTTAAAGCGGTGCTTTAGCATCTAAGGCCATTTACACCTGGACTGGTGAATAAAAAAAGAAGATGAGGGAAACAAGAGCGCCAGAATTCACATGTGAGGAAAAAGAATTCAGGTGTAACCCTCTCGTGAGACAATACTTGAATGAAACCCATGTTGCGTCCTTTCACACGGCACAGACATGTGACAAGTCTTCCGTTTGGCATCAGCTGACGACTTGTTTGACCATGACATTAGGATCCGAAGTGTTGTTACCTACTAGCGATGCAGAGCGTTGAACTCGTTTCACCCAGTTTTTGAGATTATTTGCTGCCCGGCGCCGCGGCGCCTGCGGGGAATATCTTCCGAGCCTCCTAAAATCGGATTCAAGTTTTTTGGAGCTGCCAACGAGATAGGCAGCTCGCTAGTGGAGTACCGTAACACTCTAAGCACTGGAGGATGCCTAATGCATTGTGTTCTCACGCAGAAATCCGCGTCTATGTGTCGCTGGCAAATAGTCAAATCAGGCATTTTGTCACATGTCTAGGTGAACAGATTACAGTTTACGAAGCTTTGTACTTCTTGATTAGGAGCTCTCACGTCTTTGATATTTTTAGTGCGTTCTCCGAGGGAAATATTTTTTGAAATTTTTTTGAAAGTTAGAATTCATCCGGTCTACGAACTTTTCCTTTAAATCCCTCCTAAACTCCAAATGCTCCTCATTTATGTATTTTCGACATTTTAACAATCGGTATAGTGATGGTCAAAGTGCGAGACCTGATATCTTCATTGCAGTGTTTCAAAATTTCTAGCAGAGAGGAAAATCCAAGGAAGTTTTCTAGAAATACTGAGACAGTTTTCCAAAAAAAAAGTATGACAGGATGTCTGCAACATCGCAAACGGAGGTGCGTGGTTTCGCACTTTAACCATCGATACGCGGCAAATTTCAAAATGAATGTCCATTGTTCAATCTAAGGCTCAAAATGATTTCAGATACCATCGTATGATGCGAATTTTTACGATAAATTCTTCCTACACAAGCAAAGAATTAGTGTAGGGTTAAAACTTTAAAAAGGATCAGAATTTAAATCCAAATACTAGGTAATACTAATATTAGACTATTCGAAAACATTTCTGGTTTGACTATTTATTTGCCGGTGGCATACGTACAAATATTTGTTTTGTACTAAAAGACTGCGGAGCTAGGGTGTGTCAAAATCTGCAAAATCCCTAACCACTCAAGCGTGTGGTTCCATTTCAAGATTTGTTGGTAATTCACGCAGAACGACGACGCAACTGAGACGTCGAGCGAAGACTAATGAAATTTGCATAAAGTCGGAACAAGCCTGACATATTGTCACTGCATTTCAACATAATGCATGCGCTCTGCCGCACCACATGGTTTTCCCCCTTTCATTTTTATGAATACCAACTGAGAACACCATTAACCTAATTTCATACTATGGCTGTTAAGTCAGTTGAAGTAGAAGAAATTACAGAGTATTCCCCGTGGCCGCTANGCCCGACCCCAGTGCCTTTTTCACGCCCTCAAAGGCCCGCTGTTCCCGTGCGAGTTAATGTAAATAGAACGGGCTTATCTATAGACTATCTTCTATCGATAGCCACAAAATCATGAACATCGATCCGGTAGATCTTTCTGATGAATTGTGACAAAAAATGTGCAAAAATCATAGAAATCAGCTCATTAGCAAGGTGCAACGGGCTAGATGACTAAAATTGAAAATTTTAAGGGTCTAGGAGCTTACGTATACTAATGATGATGTCGAAATAATGATCCAATACTCTTAATATGGAGAAAAATATCTTGGAGCGCTATGTGGAGAGGACAGCGTTGCCTCCGAAGCTTGATGCTGGAGGACAGACGCCATTTTTGTAAATGATCGTATTTATGCTCAAAGGAATTATGTAGCACTCCTTTTCGCATAAATACGTGCAAAATAATGATGAGTTGAATTACCAACTTCGTTGTGAAACATTTTGGACGCTTACTAAAGCCACATCAATTACCATCCATTCCCCATCCCTAACCTTGCTACGTCCTCTTGACGTTTTGGACTTTCAAAAGGTGAGGATTTTCCGGGAAAAATATCTGTTAACAAAAACTACAACTAAAATGGTTTACTGCAGACGCTAACTTTTAAAATCATTGACAATTTAGAGGGGCGAAACTGGAAAGACGCACTGCAATATGTGATACACAGATTTCGGTGCGATTTTGTATTTTTTTGCAATCATACGAGCGCAATGGGGCTATCGCAATTTATTCAAGGGAAATTGTTTGGTTATCCCTTATCCTTTGAGAAAAACTTGAAATTGTGCGAGACTTTGTGTTTTAGTGTTTCGACTGTGCATGTGTAGTCTGTAGTATCCCCCAATTAACAATCCGATCAAGGTTCGATTCGTGCAAGCTTCACACGTCAGAAAACCTAGTTAGATAAAGTCATATTCTTTATTCATACATAGGGTCGGTGTGCTTTTTAATGTCTCCAAAAAAGTTAGTGTTCTCATAAGAATTCCACGATTCATCAAAAAGGTTCAAAGTGGCTGGTGTGAAAGTAGCCCGTGCGAACTTTGAAAAACTTTTTTTCTCTTATTTTTCAGGTGATTTTTAGTGCTTCAATCCAGATGACAAGTTTTTGGATATCTCACGAGTTTTGGGTTCGTAAGCAGTGCATTGTTGGTTGCGCCAATAACAACATATAGTACGACTAAGGTTAAGGTTTATGCTTAGAGGTGACATAAACGTCGCTCTTCTATAACGCACTCTGGCACTCTGCGACACCCAGACGCCATGTCAACCCTCTGCCGCCATCCTTTCATGAGAGATGCCCGTCACGACCCCTTCTCTGGGGTCATTATATTCCCCATATATTTGAAGTGATTACAGTATCTAAATATTTGATAGCTTATATGATGACTGTCCGGTAGGAATATGCGTTAATCTTTTCAGCAGAGGCTTGTTGGTGGAATCACAGAAATGATGTATAATAGTGTTCCAGTCCAGTTGATGGAGTGACAAGCATAATGTCCATGCATTCCAAGACTTCTCATGATGTTTTTCAAAAAGAGTCTGAATAAAATATAGTTTTGTTCGAAAATCAATCAAGAATGTCTCTTTGATGATTCTCAAAGGTGTTTGACCTAGTTAAAAAATTTAATTGAAAAACTTCACGTTGTTGATTGAAGATAATCAAAAAGAGTTCAACCGGACGGGTCACAGAGTTCATAAAATGTCCGGAGGAACTTCTGTCCGAATGAAAGCGCCGAGGAAAAATTTTGCACCTTCATGCGATCCGTCCAGACATTCTGAGATCCACTTAAAAAAGAAACTGCCAAAATTTGTGCAAAGACTTAGCTCGATGTGTGATGTTATCAATATTCACGAGAAAGGAGGGCAGCATTAGGGTTGGGAAGATAAAAGGAAGTCCTCCGATCTTTAACCTACTGATAAATACGATGTTTCTGCTCAGCCATTAAGTTATTTTGAAAAATAAAATCTCAGAAAAATAATACTCGTGAAATCACGTGCGGGCAGCAAGTTGGAGGAGTACATCTGCGACAACTTACTTGGGACGTCGCGCTGCGACTGCCAGGAAATGTGGAACACGCCGAGTTGCGGGATCGCAGGCGGTGTTTCGCTCCTACTTTCAAGAGGGTTTCGGGCACAATATCCAAACTGTTCCGACGAAAGTACGAAAAATCACCAAGAAAACACTTAGAACGACGCGCAAGTCACAGTGGCGGGCTGGAAAAAGCACCGAAAGTCTGACGACACTTCAAAAAAGGTCTGCGACACGACAGGGCAAACTCCGCGTTGAGTTGTTATTGAGGATCAAGTCTACGTCGCGGCGCGCGGCGGCTCAAGGAACGACCCATTCCAGAGGCAGTAACTTGAACGGGTTATGAGAGGGGAGGTGGGCACTGGCATGCCGAGCGAGCGACCCGCAGTCTAACGGGATCTTGCGTCCGTCGAGTGCTTCGACTTGGCGGACATAGATAGCGCCGCTTGTCTGATGGACATGGAGTCCTTGTCTGACGGTCATGGAGTCCTTGCCGTCTAGCTGACATCCTGTGTGGGATAGGTGCATAGAGCTCTCTGTGGTAAATGAAACCTACAGGTATACTATTGCCCACGGCCGGACTAGCCAGGGGTACTGGTTACGAGGGGCCCCAAAACCTAAAATTTAAGGGCCTTATGCCACCTAAAATTTCAGACTTAGGACTTCTCTAAATCTGTCTAACAGACTCCAAGGATCCCTGAAGAATT